AGATGCGATTTTAATGCAATTTGTGTAATATTGATTTATTCGAATATATTATAAATAGCAATATATAATCTTTCAATATTGTAAATTTAATTTTTAGCTTATATTTTAATAAAATTCAGCATATTTTTCCATAAAATGCAGAAATATCACATGCTCAGAAAATAGTTCGTCAACTTGTGGATTTCTTTCGCAAGATAACGGAAAAAATTCGCGAAAAAAAAGTAGAAAATTATTAATATAAGTAAAGAGAAATTATAAATTCAATGTTTACTATTTAATATATGTATTGTTTTAATTCTCTTCATTAGATGGTATATTACAATTTACATAAATAATTTATTTATTTGATGAACTTTGCTCGAAATTTCTCCGATAACTTTTTCAATTGTGTTAGATCATAATTTAAACAACAATTTACAATTTTATATTATTTTACTTAAAGTATAACTGTTATATTAATTATTAAAAAAAATTTATTTCTAAACAATTTTATTCAAGAAATGAGACTTCTTACTAACATTTATTATTTTTAGTGTATAATATATATAATATTCTGTTATTAATATATTAATATATTTAATATTCTGTTTAAATTATTGAATAAAGTTATTAACAGAAGATATAACATATTTCATGATAGTCGAATAAAAAACTACGGGAAAAGTCAACCAAAAATGTTATTACTTTTAAACAATGAAGCTGCTTTCTTCTATTTCTTAATCGAACGCCATAAACATCGAAGTTCTCGAATGCTTTTCGCGAATTTTCGCACAACAAGCAGCAAAAACTGTTCACGATACCTGCTCCGAGGATCTAATTGAAAGTTCCACTGTGAAAAGCAGAATCTGAAGGACGTTGAAAAAGTGGAGAAAGTCAGGCGATCTCTGACAAATGCGTTTCCTCGAGGAAAAGTACGAATTAAAACGTTCGTGACAGAAAGCGCGGTCTCGTTTAGTCGGCATCTAATGATTTTAATGACGTCAAAAAGAATCCGACAATCGAGCACGAACATCGCGCATGAAATCGTGTCTGTCGTGAAGCATGATACGCATATGGCATGTCACAGTGTAACTCGCGCAAGAAGCGTCGATTCGAATCACGCCTGCCGACGAGATTACACGTAATCTATAACACTTTTCCTATTCATTATTTTAATGGAAAAGCAATTTCGTTAATACTCGTAATTGTTCGATGCGCAATCAATAAGTCGTCATACAATACGCGCCGACTGTTTCTTCCTCGAATATAATTCCGCGATTGTCCACGCTTAATTGGCCGCGATGATGAAAATACGGATAATTTGGTTTGTTATAAATGCGATTTTATAACGAGACAAAATTTGGGGAAATTCGAGTTCGAAATTGATTGGCCAGTTATTTCGACGTTCCGTCATTTGGCGACGACCGTCGTGCAATTTGCATTTGCATCGCAGCGGTCTGTGACGTCCAATGAACAAAATAGTACAGTTGTTTTAGTTTATTGTGTTACGAGCACGGAAACATGATTAAATAATTGCTAAAGCAATGTCTGAGCTGTCATAATTTTTCGGATATTTTTGTTGCATACAGGGTGTCCCAAAAGTCAATTGCAATCGAGAAATGAGATCGTTTGAGATAACTACAGTAATTTCTCCCGGAAATACCAAATTTCGGGTTGCTGTTAATTTCCCTGTCCTAGTCCTACATCTATGTAACTTATTGCTACGTCGATGCTAATGGTTGACGGAATCGGCCAAGCGAGTGATGCGGCACGCGACGTGAATTCTTGAAAGACAACATAAAATAGTTTGTTTGGTTGTGAATCAGATAAGAAATACCGCGGAGCTACAAAGTACAGTAAATTCTCCCTAATTCGCGCTCAGATTGTGCTAAAAAATGGACAATTTGGGGAAAGGAGATACGATTATTTCAGCCATGCAACTCGTTTTTATAGTTGCCGATGGTCAATAGCTATAAAAACGAGCCGCGAGGCTCGAATAATCGTATCTTTTCTTCCCAAATTGTCCATCTTTTTGCGCAATCTGAACTTGAATTGGGGAGAATTTACTGTACGTGATAGATATTATGTACGTCACCGTCGAATTGTATCATGGGGCCTTCGAATTGCCTTCGAATCGTATCATGGAGTCTCCGAATTGCCTTCGAATCGTGTCATGGGGCCTTCGAATTGCCTTCGAATCATGTCATGGGGCTTCGAATTGCCTTCGATTCATATCATGGGGCCTTGGAATTGCCTTCGAATTGTATCATGGGGCCTCCGAATTACCTTTGAATCGTATCATGGGGCCTCCGAATTGCCTTCGAATCGTGTCATGGAGTCTCCGAATTGCCTTCGAATCGTGTCATGGGGCCTCGAATTGCCTTCGAATCGTATCATAGGGCCTCCGAATTGCTTTTGAATCGTGTCATGGGGCCTCGAATTGCCTTCGATTCGTATCATGGGACCTCCGAATTACCTTTGAATCGTATCATGGGGCCTCCGAATTACCTTCGAATCGTGTCATGGAGTCTCCGAATTGCCTTCGAATCGTGTCATGGGGCCTCGAACTGCCTTCGATTCGTATCATGGGGCCTTGGAATTGCCTTCGAAGCGTGAGAAAAAATTCGAAATGAAAAAGTTAAGTCACCGTTTTTATTTTAATATCTAGGAAATACACCTCGTCAATTTGTCTACAAAAGGTACAATATTTATATTTTGCGCAAAATTTTCTAAAAAAATTATAAAAAGCACACACTTTGCGTTGGAATATCCCCTTGAATCGAAGTTTCACTTGAAAATTCCAAAACCGCAGTTTCATTTGCAACAACACAGATAGGTAGAGGGGGGAATTAGGTGAATGTATACGGGCGACCTAGTTATGCGAGCTGCTTGTACCACGACGGAATCATGTGAACGGTGTTTCGCTAAATATGTTTGGCCGCATAACGCCTGATTATAACGACGCGTTGTTGCATTGTTTTCAGAATGCTCGGAAGATGATTGAATATTAACGGGGAAGGTGTCAGTGACTCTGTAAAGTTGCTGCCACCGTGAAACTACCGCCGGTGCGGGATGGAGCTGAACGGAACAGAACTCGGCCTGAACGGCACCGAAACTAATCGCACATCATCGCCTGTTTTCATCATTAGCACTCATTACATGACGCAATGGTGAGTACGAAAAATTTGTTTCACTTTTAAGTTCGTCATTTCGAGCCCTAGATTGAACTTTGCCGAGTGTTTCTTGTTCGACCGTTAACAGCTGTGCGGGCGTTTTTCGCATGGAATAAATCTGCAGATTCTGCCGAATACAATGATGTACGCTGTTTCAGGAATATAATTGTTTAAATGCGTTTAAACAATTTTTGAAGCGAGTGAGACATTATGTGGATGAGATGCAAATTAAATCAAACTTTCGAGAAATAGAGTGTTTTGCGTGAAAACTATGAAAATATTTCTGAGATAGAAAGATTCTATGGACTTTCCTGAACACAATGGTATATCCTTTTTTTAAGATTAAAGTTATTTAAATGCGTTAAAACAATTTTCGAAGCACGCGAGGCATTGTGAAAGTGAGATGCAGATTAGATGAAACCTTCAGTGATTAGAGTGTTTCGTACTTCGATTGTGGACACTATGAAGATATTTCTGGCATAGGATGATTCTATAAAGTCTTCTGAACACAATGATATATATATTGTTGAGATTATGACTATCTAAATGCGTTTAAACAATTTTTGAAGTGAGTGAGACACTGTGAGGAGTAGAATGTTTTGCGTTTCGACTGTGGAAACTATGAAAATGTTTCTTACACAGAAAGATTCTATGGACTCTCCCGAATACAATGGTATATACTTTTTTAAGATTATAACTATTTAAATGCGTTTAAACAATTTTAGAAGCACGTGAGGCACTGCGAAGATGAGACGTCAATTAGAGCAAATTTTTAGCGATCGCATTGTTTTCGTTTTCCAAATTTTTAGTTATTTCATTGTTTTACGATTATAAAGTCTCCCGAACAGAATGATATATACTTTTAAAAAATTATAATTATCTAGATGTGTATAAACAAATTATTGAAGGGTGACACTGACGGTGAGACGTGCTTATTAAATCCTTAATGATTAGACTGTTTTACATTTTCACTGTGGACGCTATCAAAATCATTCTTGCACAGAACGATTGTATCGACTCTCACGAACACAGTGATATGTACTTTTTCAAGATCATAATTATCTAAATGTGTTCAAGCGATTTTCGTTTTAAATATTTACCTGTGCGAATTATTTTGAGACACCCCTTATCCGGAATCTCATTGGTCGTTCTTTAATAAAAATTGCAGTCGAGTTACAAGCTTTCCGAGTTTCAAAAAAATTGTTCGCTTGTCACAGTTCTCAATAAGAGAAGGCGATCGTCGCCTATGCTCGTGCGTTTACAAACGTTCGATTCAGTTAGGGCAAAGTAACCACCCGCATGTACTGGGTCACCCGCAGGTACACAAAACAACCCTCATTGAAGAGTATGGAAACTCCGCTTGTTGCATTCAAAGGGACGCGTCATAAAGTACATAAATCGAAAATACATAAAATCACAGTTGCAATATTATTGCTTAAACTTCTGCACTTGGTCGTCCTCTCTCAGGAGGCGCAAACGAGTCTGCGTATCTTCGTTCATTTATGGCAGCGCAGATTTTTAAAACGCGATGAAACGTTTAGATTAATGGCTGGCCTTATAGCATTTTTATCTTGTTTTTGCGATGAATAATCTTTTAATCCTTTGTGCTCGAGCGGCGACTCCGAGGCGACGCTAGAAATTGCTACACTGTTTTCAAAAGAATTCTCGCGTTATTAAATTCGTCTGTATTCGATAAATTGTCAAATATAAACATACACTTGTATAAGCATATTTAATTTTATATGCGACAAATAAACACAGTCATACCAAATGGAAATACTGTAGGCTGAAACAAATGTCTTCATTTTGGAATTAGAATAGCCTCGTGCGCGAAGGGTTAACCCTCACAGGACCATAAGATTGCTAAGAGTAAATATTAGTATGTAACTGCTTATTTTAGTTTGTTTCGACGTAAAGTAAATAAAAATCATAAGAAAAATACATAATAATGTGTAGTTTAAGTAAATATAATAATTATTACTATAAGAAACAAAATACTAGTAGTTTATAAAATCTTCACTTATGGACCACAGGGAATTATTTTTTCCATAAAATTATTTGTCATTATTAGGCATTTGTTTTCATTTCTTCAAATATACTTTATTATTACACAAAATTATACTTACCGAATAACATAAAACATGTGAGAAAACACTAATATATTATTACACAACGCAATAAACTGAAATAATAACAGAGTATAGTCCGCGAATGTTTTATCATTGGCGCCAATTGATTTGACAGTTCTTTTTTTTCTAAACGTTCCCGTTTACGTAATTGCGTGCGGCATACGTTTTATTTTGACATTCTGTATGAAAAATACAGATAAGGTTATAATTAAATACGACAGTCACCAATTTAAAAATGGGAAAAAATGTTTTTCTTAGTCGTGCACAAATGTTACTATTTTGACAAAAATACTACCGAATACGCTTATATAATTTTATTTATAATTTTATAATTTTATTTATCGATTTTTATGCAACATATTTTTCATGGCACTCCTTCTGGACGCGTTTTTCTATATTTCTGAATGAAACACACGAAAATTTCAATTAATTGTCAGAAATCAGATACATAGTTGAATTAGTATATTTATACTCTGGCTTTCACACACAATATTTTATACAAACATTATCATAATTTGAAACGCCTCTCGCTTCTCTCACATCGTTCGAGTATTATTATACTAACTTCATGGAGATAACTTCACGCAAGTTGCGGGTAGATAATTTGAAAAAATTCTACGAGTGCAAGAGGTTAATAATTTATTAAATTACTATATTAACATTAAACCTGCATAAATTATTGAAATTATAAAGATTCTTTTGTGGGAAAAATTGAATAAATTTCTTGGTTCAAGGATGGATTATAGCAAAATTGTTAACTACTTTTAATGCTGTATCCTATACATAGCTAATACTTAAACTAATATTATTATATTTATTTTCATTGTTATTGTTATTGCTATTATATTTATCTTCATTATTATTATTGTTTTTATTATCTTATTTAAGATTTTCCCCCGCTATAAAAACAAAAAAAATATTATTATTGTTATGACTATTATATTTATTTTCATTATTATTATTATTATTTTTATTTTATTATTGTTATTATCATTATAATTATGTTCCTTACAGCTAAATATTTGAATAGACATATTACAATAACAAGTCCGGAAAGATATTTCCAACTTTCTAACATTAAATTACCACGCTGTCATGAGGAAGAGCTTCTACACCGTCTTCGTTGTTGACTTCAATTACACATCCACTGGCAAATAATCGAATTGATTTGTATCGCATCTTAAGAGGACCAAGTCTCTTCTACTCGGCAAGAATACATAATTAAGTTTTTTTTTCGACGTCACGAAGAGCATAATGAAATCAATCCATTAAGTGGAACGCTTCAAAGTACTCGATATCAAATCAAACCACTTTCTGGTAATTCTTATGATTCCGCCTAAAAGTGACTTTCAATTACCAACGATTTCCGTGCGTCGATTTCGAATTTTAACGTCGACTTCGAAGCTGTTCTTCCAATACTCCTCAATTTTTTTGACAATATCCATTTTAATTCGGATTTGTTAACCTTGTAGATTAATTAATGGTACAGTAAGATTTAATTAATATTTCGAAACATTACGAATAATATTTGCCTCGATCATTATTCGTTAACTTGACAAATAGTTTCCGTTTCAATTAATATGTATGCCTCGGTTTCGAGGCATATTTTTATTCACTTTAAATATTACAAGTAATATTTGTTTAGATTAATATCTCTCAACTGTGCGAGCAATGTTCGTTGTAAATAATATTTTCCCATTTTCCTTTCGTTGTTTGCAAATATTTCCATGGATCGGTGTCGCCGTAGGAAGGTTCCGATTATTTATTCAGAGTGTGCACCATGACTAATGCGTTCTCGATATCGCTACCTCGAGTATTACATTTTATGTTGCGCCAGAAATTATTCTTCCCGTTTCTTGGACAGTTTTAAATTACTTTCTGTAATTTATAATGATTGCTGTATTATGGTGAACACGAAATAAATAACGAAACTTTTGATACTAATTCCAGTCTGCAACTCGAAGCTCGTTCGTGGTTCATTTCGACCGGTGTGCCTCAAAATTTCAGTTCATTTCATTGCTTATGGAAACAACTGATCAAAACTCGTTACAATTTTGTTAAAATTAAATGAACGCTTTCTTGAGAAAGTTATTTTTCAGGCAGATGTTACTGATAGACATTTTTATATAATAATAAAAAGTAAATAATATTTATATTATCATATTTTTATATTATATTATTATATTATTATATTATATTGTTATATTATTATATTTTTATATTATATTATTATATTATTATATTATATTGTTATATTATATTATTATATTACTATATTATTATTATATTATTATATCATTATACTATTATATTATTATATCATTATATTATTATATTATTATATCATTATATTTTACTATATCATTATATCATTATATCATTATATCATTATATTATTATATCATTATATTATTATATTCTTATATTCTTATATT